AGCAGCATTGTCCCTGATATCTTGGTCAATAGCTATGCTTTCAACAAAATAATAAAATGGAATGCTTGATTAATATCATATTGCTGTTTGTGGGAGCTTACTATGTGAAACTTAGGCTGTTGCATTTTTTACATGTCAACAGTCGCTGCACTTCATTGGCTGAAAAGCACAATAGGTGAAGAAAGGCACTATAGAAATTCAGGTCTTTCTATTTGCTGTTAGGAGAGTTTTAATGACAGTGTTCTTTCATCTGATGAGATTTGTAAACAGTTTGCAAAAATTATTCAAATTAAACATCTTTCCTGACTCAGAACGTACATTTGGCTACATCAATTCACTTAGAACAGTGCCAAAGTGTTACATGTGCAGATCTTTTCCTTTTTGTATCCCCATCTGTCCAGCAACAAACTCCCTTAAGCATATCTTAACATAACTAGAAATCATTGCAGCTGGGGATTCATAGAGTTTCTAGTGTACTCTAGGATTAGGGAAATTGATTTAGGGAGTGTATTCTGTGATTAATGACATTGCTCTAGGGAGTGTACAGTGAATTTAGGGAAATTTGTTTAAGCACTGTACTCTGGATGAGGAAAATTGGATTAGGGAGTATTCTCTGGAATTAGAGACATTGCTGTGTAGTGTGGGGAGAGGGTGGGTTGACTGTTCCTGCATTCACTGGAGTTTAGAAGATTGGGAGGGGCACTAACTGAAAGCTCTGACAAGGTAGAACAGACTGGATGCAGGGATAATGTCTCTCCTGGTTGGGTGATCCAGAACAAAGGATTGTGCTATCAAGATGTGTGGTAGGCCATTTCAGACTGAGATAGGAGAAATTTCTGCACTCAGACAGTGGTGAACCAGTGGAATTTCCAATCACAGATGACTGTGCAGCAAAGTCATGTGCATATTTATAAAAGAATGGACAGATTTCTAGAAACTAAACTAACTGTGGTATTCATGGCTGATCAGTCATGATCATGTTGAATGACATAGAAGGCTTGATGGGCTGAACAGCCTATTTCTACTCCTGGCTTCTATACTTCCATGGTTTAGGGAGTGTACTCTGGGACTGGGGACATTGGTTTAACACATAGGAGCAGAAGTAGGCCATTCAGTCCATTGAGTCTGCTTGCCATTCAATGAGATCATGACTGATCTGATAATACTCAATTCCATTTTCCTGCCTTTTCTCCATAAACTTGGATTTCCTTGTTGATTAAAAATCTGTCTATTTCAGCCTTGAATATATGTAATGACCCAGCCTCTACAAACTCCATGGTGAAGAATTCCACAGATACACTATCTTTAAGAGAAGAAATTCCTCCAACTCTCAGTCTTAAATGGACAATTTCTTTCTCCGAGATTATATCCTCTGGTCTGATAGGCATTCCCACAAGAGGGAGACAACCTTTCTGTGTCATCCTGCTAAGCCCCCTAAGAATGTTGTATATTTCAATAAGATCTCTTCTCATTCTTCTGAATTTCAATGTGTACCGGCCAAACCTATTGAACCTCTCCTCATAAGGAAATCCCTATGTGCCCAGGATCAACTAGCGAACTTTCTCTAGACTGCCTCCAAGGCCAATATGTCTTTCCTTCAGTAAGGGGACCAAAACTGTTCACAGTATTCCAGCTTGTGGTTGGATTAGTGCCTTGTAGTTTTAATAACACCCCCTATTTTTATACTCCATTTCCTTTAAAAATAAGAGACTAACATTCCATTTGCCTTCCCTATTACTGACTGAATTTGTATGCTAGCTTTTTGTGATTTATGCATTAGGAGCTGTACGTTGTGATTAGGGAGCTGGATTGGTTTTATCATCACTCTGTACCTTGTTTGATCAGCACGCTGCTACCTTCAGTAGGGACAGTGTGATTGGATTCTGGCCTTGATTCCCAGAATGAGGAGTTCGACCATGTCCTGGAAAGAAAATGTTTTTGAGAATGACAAAGGTTCCTTTCTCTAATTGAGAGGCAGGTGTTGATTAAATGCAAAATAATTGAAATTAGATGCATAAAGTATATAAAGTTTAGAAATCAAGGAAGATGGTTTGAAAGCAATTGGTAAAATAACCAGAGGGGGAGATGAAAAATGTTTTAAAGCAGTGAGTTGTTATGATTTGGAAATATTACTTGAAAGGATGGTGGAAGCAAATTCAGTAGCAATTTTCAATAGAGAACTGGATAAGTACTTAAAAGTGGAACTGTTTGTGGGAAAAACTGAGAGAATGGGATTAATTAGACAGCCCTTGAAAAAAGCCAGCATGGGAACAATGGCTAAATATGCTCCAAAGGTCTGTAAATCAATTGCAACAACCAATTGAGAGATTTGTTTGAATATTAATCATCTCCCCTCTGTCCTCACTAGTTTTTACGCAACGTTATATCTTACACATAATAAGAGTCACTGATCTCTGGCTCTCTGGGAGGTGGTTCACAGTTCTTGTAAAAACAGCGAAATACTTGAAACTGAACGTCGATGTCAGCCATTGTTGGGTCAAGGTTTGAATGAAAGCTGTGTTGCTCTGAAACTCCCCTTCCTGAAACTGGAATGTTATTGAATAATATCAGGAGCTGGTAATATTTTAACAACATGAGACTCTGCAGTAATATAAAGGGAACAACAGACAGATTAAGACAAAGTAAATGGCATTTCTTGTGACTTTCAAAATAGAAACATAACTCTGGAATTGTGATCTCTCTTTTGAGTATTTTAAATGGATATGACTGTGGACAGCTGCACAGGAGCTGACTTTCTCCAGGTGCTGCATGAGTACCACATGTTTACAGAGCACAGGTGTAAATCCAAAGTAAGAAACAAGGCACAATGTTCCCTTTGCAAAATTTACTCATTTTCAGAAAATGGAAACAATATTTAAAACAATTTAGTTTCTGCAAGCCAATAGTCTATTTTAAATAGGTGAAGAAATGTCATTTCCAAGACATTGGCCCAGATATTGTGTTGAGGGTTGGAAACTCTAGTTTACAGTGAGTCAGCGGTCTGTGAGCTGTGTTCTGTGATTTAAACATCCAGCAGCAGAGACAGACACTGTGAAAAGGTCAGTATGCAAGGAAAATGTGGAGATAGGATGACATTTGGTCAGGTTGCTGGGTGGGTAGGGTGCATAGGTGCCAGTCAAGTAGGATGCCAGGTAGATAATGAGTAGGTCATGGGTAAACAGGAGTGCTGTTGGGGTCCGGGGGTCAGGCTGCAATAAGGGGGTGTATTGGATCTTTTGGGGGTGAGGGAGAATCTTGGTTGGTGGCTGTAGGTCTTGAGTCTGGATGAGTGGGCAAAAGCCAGCAGTGAAGAGTCTTGGATCTGGTAAGTCAGTGGTCTCAGGGCTAAGAGGCTTTGGGCAGGTGGGGAAACAATGGGTCCAAGGTTGGAGGGGTTGGGGTCAGGCTGATGCTGGGGAGGGAGCCAAAGAGGGGAGGGAAGGGAGCACTGTGTTCAGTGGGAGTTGGGTCAGGGCACTGTTCTGCTAGGGGTGTAATTCCAAGGGGACTGCAGGATGTAAGGGGTTGAAGGAAGTGTAGTTGTAGGGTTAATGGTGAGTCAGGGGGGCTTTAGTTTTGCAAACTTTTCCAAAGTTAAACAAAGTGGGACTTGCAAATTCTTCAATTTTAACAGACTCTTTCAGAGAGTTCCAAATGCAGGGGAGTTGCTGGAAAATTAAATTTCATGGCTAATCCTGATGGAGTCAGCTGCATTTGGAATTCTGCATTGTGCTAGCACACAACTGCACACTGTGCAGCTTCAATAACTCTCTGGCCATTGGAATATCTGGGTCAATGTTCCTGGCATGGCCTCAAATCCTTCTAATGTAGTCTTACTTATCCCTGGGAGTTGCATGCTTCCCTAACTCCAGGATCCAAACTCAACCACACCAAAAATCCAGACTCAACCCCCTCCCCCACCATGAAAATATCAGGTCACCCACACCCGTGGCAAGGTTCTTGATAGCCATTGAGTTTTCTGGTAAAGTTCAGTCAATGTTCATAACCTTACTCAGATAATACAGGGTCAAATTGTCCTGGTCAAAGTACCAATCTCCGTTCTGGTTGCTGGCCCAACTGAGAGGCTGCAGTGAATTATTCCGAACTGGATTCATGATCTTGAAATAGTTTGGTTGATGTATGAATTTGTGGGACATTACAATAGAATCGTTGTCCTAAAAAAGAAACAAAACTCAACCATAACCAACTACCTGAAACTGTAAAATGAACATCTTTCCAAAACTTTCAAAGTAGTAGAACTGCTCCCTTTCCTGCTCCTCTGTCCCCATCTTCTCCTGTAGCCCTGCCATGCTTCTCTACTCTTTTCCACATTCTCCCCATTTCCTTTGCTTTCCTTCTCTTTTCTTTCTCTCTTCTCCTCTTCTTAATTTGCATACATTTCACTCTTTCCCTCACCTCTTGTCTCCTTTCTCCTATCTTCATCTCTCTTCTATCCCCCCAACCCTCCTTTCCTTCTCCCCTCTTCCTCTCCTCCTACTGATCATCCTCCCTTCATTCTTCTCCTCTCTTGTCGATAAGGGACTTTTAAAACTCCCAGTTGGAACCTGAACATTTCCACATCATTTATCCAAATATTCTCCACCTTGCTTCTGTTCGATTACGGGCCTGTATTTAGAGGCTCAGCTCTTCACTTGCACATTTAAAATGTGACAGTTATTAAATGAGTCCCAAATTCATGAAAAATTCTTGTTTTAAAAATATGCAATGAAGCACTTTGGATAAAGCATAATTGATGACACCAATTTGGGGCACTTGCTGGCTTCTCTCCACTAACAAAGAAATGGCAAAAGACTACAGGGGTGACATAGGTACTTCAATGTTTGCTGCATCAGTGAGAGGGCTCCTCATTACCAATGGACAAGTAGGCTCACCCTTGCTGGCTGTTCACCCAGGATCCCCATTCTCTAACTTCAGTCATCATCCTTTAAAGAATTTGATCGCTGGAATATGGTGTGTGTGTCTGTCTGTGTGAGTGTGTGAGTGTGTGAGGGCCTGTCTGTGTGAGTGTGTGAGTGTGTGAGGGGGGAGGGGGAGAGGGTCATGTTTGCTCATTGTGAATTGCCAGGATTTTCACCTCACAGCGCTCATGGTCCTCCATTAATAAACCAGTATTTAGCGGAACCATGGCAACACAATCAAAGTCCCTGGAGCAGTAAACCCTCTATTGACAGGTCCATAGGCTGGAGTGCTAAAAACAGAGTCTCAGCTCACACCCAACATTGGAACAACAGTATTAGGGAAGATTACTATACACTTGATCAAAATGTCAAATTTCAAGGAAGGTCTTAAAGGAGAAGAGAGAGTGGTGGAGAGGTTTATGGTGGGAATTCCAGATCATCAGATGCATAAAGCTGAAGGCATAACCACCACTGATGGTGTAATGGAACTGGAATATCTACAAGATGCAAAACTAGACGATTGCAGGTATCGTAGAGTTGTGAAGATGGAGGAGATTTCTGAAAAAAGTAGACTATGAGGCCAAAGATTGATCTGAAAGTGAGGACAAGAATTTTAGTGAGCTTGCAAAATACATCAATGTCTATGAGTAAGTAATGCAACAGTATTTAACTCATTGTTGCACTCTCCTTTAAATAAGACTCACAAATACCTTGAAGTGGTGGAACGTGGCTTTGTAGGAGATGCTGGTGAGAAAACCCATATCCTTAAAATGCCAATTTAAGATCTCATCATTTGGAATAAGAGCCATCCAACCACCGTTATTTATCCCATGCGCGGACCAGTATGGGATGACACTGGTTCCTACATCAACACACCAGAGAACAGACCTCATTCATTTGAATTAAACATATCAAGGAGTTCCACATTTGATCATTCCAGAGAGAATGGGTTATTCCATTCCATGTCTCTAAGCAGTATATATAACATATTTTGAATACACATATACTAATAAGCAATTTAAAGGCTTCCTGTCTACAAACCTTACTTTGCGTGAACAGAATTTGGTAACATTTGAGAGGGTGATTGCCTATGAAAAGTTTATAATAGGGATTTTCAACATAAACAGCTGTTAGCCAAAATATGCTGATGAACCAACTAAAACTTAAGAATAAAAACAGAAAATCCTGGACAAACTTAACAGGTCTGACAGAATGTGTGGACAGTGAAAAAGAATTAACATTGTGTGAGTCTGACATACTCCCTCCAGCCACTGCCTGTCATGCTCCAGCACTTTCTGTTTTTACTTCAGGTCTCCAGAGTCTTCATTACTTTGGTTTGTAAAACTCTAGCCTTTTTATTTCAGGAATAAGTAGTAACTGAAATGTACATCTTAGATAAGACATTAAACAAATACTACATTTAGAAGGAAACACATTAATCAATATCATTACATATACCCAAATATGTTTCTTTGTTTTTTTTTAATAGCTTCGTTTAACACAATGTATTTCAGGAGCAGACCATTCAGCCCCTCAAGCCTGCTTGACCATTTGTTAATAGCATGGCTGATCTGATCATAGCCTTAACTCCACTTTCCTGCCTACCCCAATAATCTTCAATTCCTTTCACAATCAAAAATCTTTCTAATTCAACCTTGAATATATTCAATGAGGCAGACTCCACTGCTCACTGGGAAAGAGAATTCTAGGGACATTCTGTCCTCTGAGAGAGAAAGATTCTGCCTTATTTAAATGAGATACCCCCAAACTTTAAACTGTGATCCCTTATTGTAGACTCCCCACAAAAGGAAAAATGCTCTCAGCATCCAATGGGGTCAAGTCCCTTCAGGAAATTATATGATTCAATCATATTAACTCTCCACTTTTAAACTCCAGTCATTTTAGGTCCATCTTACTTAACCTTTTCTCATAATAAAAAAAAACTTTCAATCCTGGACCTCAGCGAGGCTGGAGGTGATGAGAGGGGAGAGATGTGCTGAACATCTAAATTAGCGCAAGGGGCAGTGAGACCCTTGCAGTCTGTTGACTGGCAGCCTTCCCAAAAAAAATTACATTGATGTCACAGGAATGGGGAAGTCAGGGATTGGTGAGTACTTAAGTCATTCTTCATTTAAACTCCCGTAATTTATTAGTAATTGTAAGTTGTTTAGTTTTGGTAAAGGTGTGCGTGGTTTATTGCAACTAGTGAAGTGTCTTTATTCTTTGTTAAGTTTAATCAGTACTAGTAAATTTATCAATTGTTGTACGGCTTATTAATACTAATTATTAGCATTAGTTATTAGTTTAGGCCAAACAAAATGAAATCAATACAAGTAAATCAATTTCAAACAAAGTTAATGTGGGAAAGTAAAATTGTAAAATAGTTTGGTCAGATGGAATACATGTCCTATACTAGTGGGAAATTGTGAATGCTGCTGGTGACCTAGCCCACCACATATGCAAGAAGTGTCTGGTAGTTGCAAAAACTTGGGGTCTCGGTTTCAGAGAGTGAGCGGTGTTCGGAGACACCGTGGCACATCTGCAAGGCTGAGAGTTACGTAGATAGCACACTCAGAAAGTTGGTCACACTGCAGGCCTGGAGCAGGCAGGCAGAAAGGTAGTCCAAGAGAACCAGACAGATAGTACAGTGATGCCCCATGATCCTGCTCGCTAATCAGTTTTCTGCTTTGGATATTGGTGAGGGCACTAGTTCCTTGGAGGAGTGAAGCCACCGCTACATGAATACCAAGGGTGGGTCAGCTGTACAGGAGAAAACGAAGAAGATGGCAAGAATAGCAGAGATCGGGGCCTCATTGGTTTGCGAGTGTTTCTGTGACAATAGACATGACTCCAACATGGTATGATCCCTCCTTGCTGCCAAGGTGAAGGATGTCATGGAATGGCATCATTCCTCTGGGGGAAGGTGAACAGCAAAAGGCTATGGTCCATGTTGGTAGTCTTGGTCCATGTCATGACTTAAACATGAAAGGATGTGTTCTGAAGGAGGGTCACGGGGCTGAACATTAACTCTGATTTCTCTCCACAGATGCTGCATGACCTGCTGAGATTTTCCAGCAATTTCTGTTTTTGTTTCAGATTTCCAGCATCCACAGTTCATTTGTTTATTTTTGTTTAAATATTAAAGGAGTTGGGCTCCCGAAAGGAGAATACAGCGAGCAAGAAAGCAAAGGTAAAAGCAAAACCCTCTAAAGTTGTTGCGTCAGGGTTATTGTCAGTCCCAGTGCTAGTGAACACTGAAGAACTGAATGATTAAACATGTTACCAGAGAACTGGTGCAGGAGAGAGGGCATTTCATTCTAGGGCAAGAGGGATACTTACAAAGTGGATGGGGTTTACCTTTGCAAGTCTGGGACTAATATCCTTGCAGGCAGATTTACTACTGTTGTTGGATTTGAAAAAAATTCAATTGTCAGGAAGTTTGGAACCTGAGAGGAAGCTCAGATTCAGAGGAAGCAAAACTAGTAAAAAAAATAAGGAAGTAGGAAGCAAAAACAGAAAGCACAAAAAAGCATAGGTAAGCACTAAATAGGATGAGAATAGCTTTGTCTAATATTTAATTTACCCGTTTGTTTTTTAAAATCATTCTTTGCCAATTTATAGAGCTGATTTAATCTTTTGACTAACCACTAATTTGTGCATAATTGTACACTTTTACTTTCAATTTCGTACTATCTTTAACATCCTTAGTTAGCCATGGGTAGTATATCCTTCTCATAGAATCTTTTTTTCTCAATGACATTTATCTTTGATGAGAGTTATGGACAAATGCTTTAAATGTTTGTCTCGGTTTCTCTACTGTCCTACCTTTTAAGCTATCTTCCCAGTTCACTGAAGCCAACTCTGCTCTCATACAGAGATAGTAGGAACTGCAGATGCTGGAGAATCTGAGACAACAAGGTGTAGAGCTGGATGAACACAGCAGGCCAAGCAGCATCAGAGGAGCAGGAAGGCTGACGTTTCGGGCCTAGACCCTTCTGCTCTCATACTCTTGTAGTTGTTTTTATTTAAATTTAAGGCACTAGTCTTAGACTCACACTTCACTCTCTCAAACTATTATGAAATTTTGTCATGTTGCGATCATGCAGTCTACAGGCTCAATTGTTATGGGGTCATTTCTTAATTTTGTCTTATTGGACATGTTATGTCTAAAATAGCCTGCTCCCTGGTTGGATCTAGAAATGTACCACTCGATAAAATAATTCTAAATCCATTAAACAATCTCATCTTTTAGGCTACCTTTGTATATCTGATTCATCCAATCCAAGATTAAACTCACCCAATTATTGTAATACCTTTCTTTGAAGTCCTCAATGTTTCTTCCGTTATATTCTGTCTGACAGTGCAGCTATTGTTAAAGACACTATCAAGTATTCCCATCATTTTACCCAAGCTCAATGGACTTCTTGATCTTCTGAATTAAGGTAATCTCTTACTACTGTACCAATGTCATCCTTAACTCACAAACCACCTTTTCCACCATCTTTTTCTAACTTACTGCCGTTCTAAAATGTCAAACAGCATTAAAAATTGTCATGATAATATAAAATATGGACTACTGATTTTTGAATTCTATCAGCTGATTTAATACTTGGCACTTCTGTGGATGGAAATATTATTTATAAGGGACAAAAATACTGTCTTAAAACGGCTGATTTGAACACCTGATCCATGCAAGATGGCTAGATGTTAGCAGCCAATATGCATTATATTAAATACAGTATAAATTGAAATGAACATGAAATGAACATTTTCTCCAAAGACAATGAAATCAGATAGACAAGCCCATAGGAAGTGCAAAAAGATCCTCACCTATTTAATTTATGGCAAAATTACAGTCTTCTCAAGTTAGCAATGACACCACCTGGGCACAATAACTTGAGCAGATACCAACTAAACAACCAATTGGCTTTTCAAAGAGCTGTGTGGCAGATGAGGAGGAGACAGAATTATAAAGTAGAACTTGAGTAGAGGGTGAGAAGGCTCTTTCTCTTCATCTTTAAACACTGACTGGGAAGAAGCATTGGAGAACAGATAACTTAAAAGACAATTCCAATACTCACTATTGTTGACCATCTCCAGGAAACCAACTCATCAACCTTTGTCTCAATTTAAAATCTTATGCCTCAAGGACATCCAAACGACTGTTAAACTCAATATCCTTTTATTTTCATTAATACTGTACTTTATCTCATTTTAACAGTGGTAACTGGTGACTGTGTATGTGAGAGTTCCAGTGACTGTATGAAGGCTCAATGTTTGACATTGCATCTTCATTATTTTGCTTGCAGTTAGCAGGTAATAAAATTGCGGTTTTTTTCATGAGGGAAAAAGAAGCTTGTGATTGACTCTTAATTGCTTACAGTAAAAGAAGTTAACCTTGTTTTAAGTGGAGAAAGGTATAGCCTTGAAATAAAATGAACATAAATTTTTGTTGAAACAATTTTTACACAAAATCAAGGAGGTTGAAAGGAGGGAAGCCAGTTCACCCCTTCTAATCTGGTTGTAACAAACTTTAGATTAGTCTGAAGTGGCTATCAGGTCATAAACATATATTTCTAAAGTTTTGTTATGAATTATGTGAGCATGCTGACACAGCACCTTTAATTCTGACATTTTACAAAGACTGAAGCTCCAGCCTTATCCTCTGGAACATTATTAAATTTATTCACTCTCTCCTTTCATGTCACACTCTGGTTATCATTTGCTTTGTTGTGATTCTGCTCTACTGCCTTGTCTTCTCTTAACGTCAACACATCTGCCCTCAAGTGATGTCTCACCTGATTACCTAGTTTAAAGCCCACTCTACTTTTAGGACTGACAAAAAGACTAGCTCCACCACAATTCAAAGAAAGTCTTTCCTAATGGTACCTTTCCCAGTTTCCCTAATATTGATACCAGTACCCGATGACCAAAGCAGAACATCTCCTCTACTCTTATCTTTATCATCTAGATACTTGAATTATGACAACTGGATCCTTCCACTCCCACTGCAATTACTCCCAAGCCGTGAGCAGATATCCAGGATCCTGGCACTGGAACACAGACTTTTGGACTTCGTCTCTGCTACAGAGAAGTATGTCTTTGACCATACTGTCCCCAGTTATCACTATATTGCTATTTACTTATCCAAGTTGAACAGCTCCTTATACCAATGTGCCATTGGTACCTCACCCCTTGCAATTGTCCAACAGAAACCTGGATCCTGTTGGACAACTGCGAGGGGTGAGACACCTCCATTTTGACCTTCCTGATTTCTATCCACAACAACAAAAACAAAGTTGCTGGAAAAGCTCAGCAGGTCTGGCAGCATCAATGAAGGAGAAAACAGAGTTAACGTTTCGGGTCTGGTGACCCTTCCTCAGGCCCTTTCTCCTTCACAGATGCTGCCAGACCTGCTGAGCTTTTCCAGCAACTTTGTTTTTGTTCCTGATTTACAGCATCCGCAGTTCTTTTGGTTTTCCTGATTTCCATCCTTGCTTCACGCAGTCACACCCTTCTTGCCCCTAATCAGGGAACAAATCAAACAAACAATCTCATTCAAATCAGTCAGAACTGATCCCTCTCTGATGCCCTGCTGTGTCTGTAGGTTGGTTGTGAACTCTGAGATGGAACTCCTCAAACTATTGATATTTTCCTGCAGATGTGGTTACTGTGGGTCACAGTGATTTCTCGGGAAAGCTACAGCTGGAACACATCAGTGAACTTGGCATCCCCATTGTGTTTAATGAACAGATTATTTTCCCAATAAAATTTGAATTAATGCCTCCAGTCGTGCATGTGCTTACTATCAGTTAACATGCTACTCACCCTGAGTGAAGTGCCCTAGTTTAAATAAGAGAGAGTAGAAAAGAACATGCTCACCAACCAATCAACTGCTTACTTCCTTTGCCACTTTGTCACACTTCAATTTTCTTTGAAATGCACTGAAACCTCAGTCTTTCTACCATCTTTCCCCCAAACCCCTCAATTCTCCAAACTCCCACTGTTGTCTCCAGGTTATCCTCTAATTCTGGGAGAAATCTCTGTTTCCTAGTAATAAAGGGACGCTGAGAATAGGTAGGAAAAGGAGCACCAATTTCCCTCTTCATCAAATTCCCATGTAAACCAAGTTCCCACAACACACTAAGTCTATGTCTCACTCAGATGTGGTCTCCTCTCCTTGTGTTCCCCTTGACTCCACCAGGTTTTACAACCTTCCTGTTCTATGTTTCTACTCAATGCCTTTAGCCTGACTAAATATGCCCAGGTTTAAGCCAAATATATTTATGTTGGAAAACTAATGCAGAGTTTCCAAATACAACTGTGCATCAGGAACACAAGCAGTTGACAGAATTTCCCAGAAATCTGTGCAGTAACAGGACTTACAAAGATATCTTTGAACTTATCTGGGAACATGACCATATACTACAATGAACAATGTGAACTAGCTTAGGGGATAAGACTAACTAAGATTCTTATCCACACGTTCAAATCCCTCCATTGCCTTGCCCCTGCCTATCTCTGTCATATTCTCCAACCCCACAATCAGCTGAGCTCTGTCTCCTCCTCCAAGTTTGAGCAAAAGCATTTCAATTTTCTCCTTGTCTCCCTTGCTCTCTCCTCCTTTAAGATGCTCCTGAAAACCTATCTCTACCACAAAGCTGTTAGTCAGCTGTCTTAATATCTCCTGCTGTGACCCGCTATTAACTGGAGTAATTCTGATGGCCAGCTGCAATGGGCAGGGATGACCCAATGATTTCTACCTGGAGAGACCATGAACAGAACATGCACACACCGTGGGAATTTGATAGGATGAGTTTCTTCTCTTTCAAGGCAAATGGTGAAGGTTGAGACAAAGTCAAGCGATGGATGGTAATGGTGGCATCACACACGACTCCAGGGTACTCATGGCTCCACTCCACTGATGGGTGACATCGAGCTGGATCCAAAAGCGAGCTGTGTGGAAGCACCTTGTTACCAGGGTTACCTGTGAAAGGCAGTTGGATGGTACGTCAGTCAGATATAATCCGAGAAATTGCTGGAAAAGCTCAGCAGGTCTGGCAGCATCTGTGAAGGGTCACCGGACCTGAAACATTAACTCTGATATTTTTCAGAGTTAATGTTTC